TTTGATAAGTTATCTACATAATAAATAAAACTACACATACACACCGTGTGTATGCACACACGCACACATATATATATATATATATATATATATAATATATAGGGAATTATAATTCCTATCACATCCGTTTGGTTATATATTTTATTTACCACGCAATATATATCGGCGCATTATATTGCAATGGAAACGTTTGTTACGTTTACTATCAGTAATGATGTAATTCGCACATAACAGATAAGAGCAGTTAGAAAACTAAACGTTTATTGTTAAATTTAGTTAAAACAATTTTAATTAATACCGAGAAATAGGTGAACCAATATGTAGGTTAATATTATCAGTGGGTCGGACTGTTTAGGATAATGCAAACTTCGAAATTCTCATGTTTTGATACTTACAAAGAATGACACAAATACATCTTTTTAACCCTTTAAAGATTTAATATATTAAATGAATGTTTAGTTCAATATAATCAAAAACGCATATTAATCCGACAATATTAGTTTTATTTAAAATTATTATATTTTGAATTTTCATTCCCAACAAGACCTGCATAAAATGTTGCAATAATATTAAGTAGTACAATGAAAAACATATTGTAAATACCCGTGACTATTCTACAATTTAATACATTTATATCCTCACATACAAAGTTTTAATTCTTTTTCTTTTGTGAATAGATTTACTTACAACGTACAGTTAGAAAAAACTTATGATTGAGCTAAATATATTTTTAATAAATATAAACTTTTAAACAATTATTTTCATCGCTTTAACTTACGATGTTTTTTTTTTTTTTTGGGAAAACAATTTTAAAATATTAACAATTTTTTCTTAATTCTTTCCTTAATATTCCTTCTATACAAAAATAAGAGAATAAGCCTAAACCAATATGTTTTTGGTAATTGTAAGAAAAAAAATATATTAATTATGGGCAGACTTTAGCATAAAGGTTTTATTTATAGGAAAAAATCATTAACAAAAAAAAAATGTGCAACGTTAAAACGGCTACAAAATATGATAATAAAAAACAACAATAAAAAGATCTACAAAAATATACGTGTATTTATAATTTGACGAAAATCAGCTACAATTCCACTGAAGCGTGATTCATTTTCATTTTATATTATTTTAAAGCGACATCGATGACTCAAAATAAATCTGATAAACTATGTCCGAATACATTAAGACTATTGTTCTTACAAAGACTTTTCCTTTACAAATTGAATGGATTGCCATTGCCAAGTTAGTGACTCATCCCATTCATGGAAACTAATTAATTACCGAAAGAAAATATAGGAAACTTAAAACATTTCACACAACGACCAGGCAAGCTTGCTATATAATCTATTTTTACATACACGGCCTCGTATACAGCTAATTGAATTGAAAATCATCACCTTGAGCTTGAACTGGTGACTGCCAAATTGATGACAGAAAAAAAACTTACATAACATCACCATTATGCAATGGACGCGCCCGCTGTACGAATAACCAAGCATACAATATGGTTTCCAACTGATAATTTTACGAAAGAAATATATAGACATATATATTATGTATGTATGTATATATCAAGTTCTTTCCGTATTCTTGTATCCTTAGTATAACTTTAAAAATTTCCCCTTTAGAGATCGTAAAATTAAAAAAAATTGTTGTAAATTTAAAATTTAATATGGCCATAATATTCCGCAAAAATGAAACATGACACAGTATTAATTTTTGTGTTTGCATGGAGAAAAAAAATCTTAAATTCACTCTTTAATATCCAGTACACGATGTCAATATAAATGAAACTCTCAATATTTGAAAGCCACCGTGATACTTTAAACTCGTTACGCACGTGCTAGCTGCGAATGGAAGCCAAATGTTCCTTTTACAATATCATATAAGTAGCGAGACGGATGCAGTGGACACACTATAAATAAATAAAAAAATATAATACACATATTATATATATTACTAAAAGACCTGGCGAACTTCGTATCGCCCTATAATCAAGAAATATCTATTACGTTTTTTTATTTATATTTTTGGAGTTTACCTGTAAGCCATAAATCTCCGTGTTTTGAAGTGCGACAGAATGATTGACATATTAGTTAGTTGTCAAATCTAATGTCAAAAAAAACGTTTGTATGGGAAATAGAAAAGGGCTGTTTTTATGGTTTTCCCAGTAATTAATAAATTTTTTTCAGCTTTTATACCTTCCCTGAACCTCCACAAACATTTCAAGACTAAGATAAGATAAATCCGTTCAGCTGTTCTCGAGTTTTAGCGAGACTAAGGAACAGCAATCCATTTTTATATATATAGAAGAAGAAGATAGAAGATATCAAATTAAAATCATTTAAATTTTGTACAACTCAATCGTATCCTTCTATTGATAACAGGGCTAATATGGCTTATATATTTATAATAAAAATTTTAACCATACCACGGATTACATGTAAAAGTTGACACATGCATTTTTCAATATTATCTTTGTATACCTTCGTTGTTACTATGTGTCAATTCAACCTTAGGTCGATATACTGTTTATAAATACACTTATGTCCTTATCCATTTTAAATCTCTAAATCGATATTATATATAGTACAATATAAGAATACAACAGAGCTTTCTACGGAAGGTAGATTCTTACGGCACTAATGTACCGAGGTATACTTTATGGCCTTCTTCGACACTTTCACTGCTGACCACCATAACGACGTAAAATAATATTTGCAACATTTGTTCTTTTTTTCATATGTACAAATTATATAATTGTAAAATAAAATACTATTGTAGTTTATTAAATTAGGAACAAATATTCGACATTACTTTACTTACTTTTTAGGTCTATAGTGCTCCGGTACAAAATTATTTAAAATCATTGTCAATTATGAAAATGTCAACGTATAACGCTCATATGCAATATTACGTGGCTAACATTAAAAATAATAAAAATATATGAGGATAATAAACACTATAATAGTATAAGGAAAAAAAATTAATTGCAAATTGCAGTATCAGAACGATAGCTCATAAACCGATTTTCTGATACAGACGAGCCAAGTTAACGATAAATTCGCAAATTCTGACAAATATACGTAAAACGTGACCTTGATAGTATAGTATATATAACATTTAAATTTTACGCCTCAAATAAAACGATACACTATGTTTACTCACAATGATAACGCGCTAGTAAGTACCAACATAGTCAGTACGCCTAGTATGAGTTCGCACGACAGACGTTAGTACCGATAGTTTCGATGTTTTCGTTTATTCAATATCATATATCTATAAAGAATACTCTCGTACTACGGAATTAGTTTGATGTAACTAGGTATATAGCAAAATCAATTATAATTGTATTAAATATTTTCTTTGTATATGTATAATAAAAACTAGTTTTAACAACGCCAACATTATAAAATAAAACATACACGTTTAACACTTTATAGTGATTTAAAATTCCAATTACATTAAAAACACAGATAAGAAGCATACAAGCAACGAGCGGGTCGTGACGTGGTGGTTGAAATGTAGTGAATTTATGAAATATTACACAAAATACATATATGTAATATATAACATATATTTCATAAGCTAGATATATATATAAATGTTCAGGTATGTAGATACAATATGACACAATGCCATCAAAACATACTTGACTATAGACTTCCTTGAGCCCGCTCGTGGTGAAATCCTAAACTGGAACACTGTCTCGACCAAATCGTCCGTTTCTATCAAAAGCACAACCACTGTAACAGATTACTCAACGCTGACAAAACTCGCTGACTATATTATAAAACTGATTCTATATATACGACCACATAAACTACGCTCTTGAAACTTCTCAATACATATCCGTTACTATGGATAGCATGTAAAAATCAAATAAAAAAAAAGATATGATAATATTAACGCGGAGCGCTAGGGGAGTTGTTATCGCTTGCGTTGCGCACTAGTGACTGAGACCACTCGCGGACCACGAATCAATGTTAGGTTGTGCAGCTGTGTGTGTGTGTGTGTGTGTGTGTGTGTGTGTGTGTGTGTGTGCGTGTGTGTGTAACATCGCTGTGATATAAACACACACATACACACTTCGCCGGGGCAGAGAGACCATCATTGTCTCAACTCCCCGGGCTATACCTGTTATTTGAATGACGCGTACGAACTCAATGACCCACGATTATCCTTACACTTAGCTGTTAATTTTGCATTAATAATTTGTATAGAAATATATTAATAATTTATATCAGTTATATCATTCGAAGATTGCACAACAGTGGATGATAACCAATTAAGACTTGAAAGACGGATGGACGAACTAAAGCAATTGGTGGTTAGTCCGATGTTATATAAGCACCATCATTTCATTGTGTACAATTTATACATTTTATATAACGGCCATATAAAAGAACAATGTTAACCATTCAAGTACATACAAACAGCTACTTTGTTGTAAAATTCCTAATAAGTATGTTATGTTAGTGAATAAACATATTTTTTATTACCAACATGACGTCAAGTACAACTTTCTATAAAACTATTGTTACAGTACCAACAAATGAACTGAGTAAAAGTACATTAAAACAGATTTAAATAAGAAATTCAAAGTAGAAACTGATATATACTATCGGAGAGAAATCTCAATTTCATAATTATATCCACTATAAGGATGATTTGTATGAAAACAAATCTATATATTTTTTTAATGTAGATAAACTGAGATAACACAATCAGTTTATCACCTCATTTAATATAAAAATATTTTTAATAATAATGACAGTACGAAATATCTTAAATTTATCATAAGTGGATCTTTCCAGGGAATTAATGTAATGATAACAAAAAAATCAACGTTAGTAACGATTAGATTTAATTGACATTATTTGATAGGTTTATAAATATATAACCTGTTTCATTAATTCGATTAACCTGAATTAATTCGATCTTAGGATGGCAAAATTGAAAAAAAAAAAATGTCAAAAAAAATGTCATTTCAAACAAACCTCAGTGAGTGACGTTGACAGATCCTGCGTATTATAATCAAATTCTTTCTGATAGCCGTTTTTTGTGAAGGTCTCGACAGACAAACGTCTAGCACTGGAGAGCATCTTGCCTTGAATGAATCCACAGCCGACGAACGATTGTTATTCCTAGCTACCAAGTACCAATGATAAGATAACTTCACGGTAATCCAAAAGCACTCTGTCAAATATAATACCCATAATACAATTTCGTTTGGTTTAAACCGGATTGATATACACAACGGAAAATGTACAGATTAAAATGTTATCATTGGAAACGATTTGCTTTATTTATTAGCACTTTAGCTCAATACTAATAGAACTTTATAAGGTGTTATTTGAATGATACATTAGGTTCTAATATAAATAGTCAGTTATTTTTCAAGGTTATATTCTACTAGTTTTCAATATTACTATTAGTCGAAAATTTTATTTATTCCTTTAAAATCTATATAAATAAATCTAAAAACTCAGCGTGAGAGTTTAAAGAAATATCAGCAAGAAATTACGTAAAATATATTGTAAGCTTGTAATAATATCAAATTTAATATAAAAATACATCGTCACAATAATTTCGTAAAAAATATATTGATACCATTCTTTGTGTATAACTGATAAATCGTGTAATCAAAACAATTATTAGCATTTATATTACGTCGAAAATAAAATCTAAGAACACGTGCCACTTATGATACGTATGATACTTTGAAAATAAATATACAACTTTAGATAATTTGAATATATGAAAAAATATATATAATATACATCCGTGATATTAGAATATAAATTACATATATAATAATCATTGGTTTAGTCAGTGGCGACCTAGTGGTTAAAAGGCCCGCCTCTCATGCGCGGGTTCGATCCTGGCAAGTACCAATGTGATTTTTCCGAGTCATATGTACTTTCTAAGTGTATTAAGACATCACTGTTTAATGCATTCCCAAAGAGGGTTATTGTCAGGCCGGCGGCCGGTCGTAAAAAAATAGCCAAAACTATTCACAACATGTAAGGCAGAAACTGGCCAAAGCTGGGTAATTGCCAGGTAGAAGAAGAAGAAGAATTATTGGTCTGTCTATTTATACGAGTTATGAGTCTAAACAACTCCATAAGCTACCTTAAAACGTATTGAAAGCAAATCGGAACTGTTTTCATAGTAAAGTCATATGCATAAAGAATTTATTCATCTCTATAACAAATACCTAAAAGATGACAAACCTGTATCTGTCCCTGAATTCTCGTAAAATTTGGCAGATAGCCAACAATTTACTCGTACGCTAATTAAAACTAAGCCTGCTCATACAATGCCTTAAAGAATTTGGAGCACAAAATATTTTATAGTATCTCGAAATTTAATTTCAGTCTTTGTAGTAAATTTGTTTACAATATATAAACCAGCTGTTATTGTAATACGTCAGAATGAATTTATTATGTGTTCTTCACCTTATCAGAATGATTTTACAAACAGAGCTATAAATGGTTTTTATCAAAACACTTCATTGTATCCACGTTGAGACCGTCGACCCGAGATTCCTTAACTCCATAAACAAAACTTGACATATTTTCGTACGGCATTATAAAAACGGGGTTACCGTTTTTCATTGCAATAAAAAATAATAAAACGGTAATAAAAAATATCAAAATAACGTCCAAGATACATAAAAATAACAAAAAAATGTACGAACGCTTGAATAATATTCGGAGACGAAAAACAGTTTCGTACATATTATAGAAAATATATTTAACGGTAGCGTAAATAACATCGCGAAAATATTTATAGCAAATGATTCATATAATAAAAACTATAAAAAACTCGAAAATTTCTGTATGCTTAACACTAGTTTCTATCATTGCACTGCGTACGAAGAGTCTCCCGTTAACCATACCGTCTCCTATTTTCTTTTCAAATTTGGTTAGGTAGGGAGAGGAGCTTCGACAGTGGAGGTGAGCGTTTAACGCCCGTTAGATAAGGGGCCCCTTAAACCTACACCTGGGTCGCAAGTCCCAGGCACTGTTGAAGCTACTCTCCCTACAACAATGGACCCGGCACCCGCACGGTAAATCCATGGAATGCTAAGAAGTTTCGTCTCATATGTATGAGGCGTAATGAACGATAAACTATTAACGCTACGTACGGTGTGACTATGCAGACATGAGATAAGCTCACTGTACTTATAAATACTGCAGGTAAATATTGAATTTGGCCGGATCACACGAATTCCAATACAAATAAATATACAACGCGGAAACGAAGACATTATTGGATATATTAAATATAATAATATTTGGCAAGAAGCCAGCTATAGTATTAATTATACACATACTGAATTTTCTTAACGTAATACAAAGTATTGTACAACGATTTTAAAACACGTGTCACTTGAAGTGTTGCGTTAACGAATTCGATTAAACTGAGAAATTAACAAATAGTTCTTATCGCAACCATAGATTTGATTTATATCAATTGAAAAGAAATTTAAGAAGTTATACCGTCCTATACCTAAATATAACGAAAAAAATCATCGAAAAATTCACAAGAAACTTTGATATCAATTAATTCTAAAGAAATAAGCCTCATTATAGTAAGAAAAGGTCATTTAAAGGCATTTAGCTAAGTCCAACGCCCACCATAACATTTTATAGAAATTATACAATTAATAAATAAAGTACGCGTCCATAATAATCATTGAAATAAATCACATTCCGACAAACACAATCCCTATACTACTAAGGTTACACCGAATACCGCATTGCGTTACAAACATGTAAAACACGAAAATAAATTACATACTAAATAAATTTCAATTACGAAAAAAGTCACAATACAAAGCATATAGTTGATATAATTTAATCTTATCAATCAGATGTACAACTAGATACTAATGCCATATAAGGTCATGAGGCCTTGGGGACCTATCAATGTCACTGCTGTAGTTGAAGGGTGGGCCTACGTACGAGGCCTTGGGCCGTGCGTAGGCCGACAGGGCGCGTGTGACGTCACACCGATATATAAACCCAGCCTACGCGACGCCGAGACAGTCTACAACCATTAATGGTGAGTTTTATGACAGACATTATTAATATATAGTGATGTTTAAGTAATATTTAATTATCATATAAAATATAGATTGAATTCAATAGTCCTATCATTTATTTGAAACAAACTAATACTAACGATTTAAGACAGAGTATTTAGTTGAAATAGTGGATTTTAGTGTCAATATTTTTGCATTTACTTTTCCTAGCAGTTAGACGAAATAAGATAATTAAATCATGTAAAGAAACATATAACTTTGAATATTTTACTGTATATATTATTATTTATTGACAAAAATATGAAAATATACCAGAAAATGTCTTTTTTTGTATACATAATATGTTATTTTTACTTCCTCAGTACTCCCATAACTAAACCACGAACAATGTCTCATTTATAACCGACAATATCAGACTGAACAATCAATTTACGTACGAAACGTAATTTAGTTTTACAACACGTAAAACAAACACAATGGCTATTACGGAAAAATTACGTGATTGGAACTCAAACTTACATTATTTACAGTTTCGAAGCCAATTATAATGATCATTATATAAGTTCCCCTAAAACATAAAATTATTATGTTCATAACCTATTTAATAAAAATAGATTAAATAGGTTACGAGGTGACGTGTTATGTTGTAACGAGATGACATAGTAAAAATATATATTAATAAAAATCTTTGGTCACATACATACATAAGAATATCATTGAGTTTAAAAACTATATAAAAGAGAATCCAGTAGTCAGTGGTGGCCTAGTGGTTAAAAGACCCGCCTCTTTTGCACGAGGGCGCGGGTTCGATCCTGGCAAGTATCAATTTGATTTTTCCGAGTCATATTTACTTTCTAAGAATATTAAACATCAGTGATTAATGCATTCCCAAAGAGGGTTGATGTCAGGCAGGCGGCCGGTCGTAAAAACAATTAACCAAAACTATTCACAACATGTAAGGCAGACCCTGGCTATAGCTGGGAAATTGCCAGCTATAAGAAGAAGATATAAAATCCAGTGTGATTTTGAAACAAATCTTTGATCCCTCACAAGTAACTCGAATAAGCTTGTAACGTACTTGACCTTCTTGCTTCAAATCCATTAATTCCGTGTTGGTATTAACCCTGTTCCTTCAATCTTATAAATCTCTCGTGTTACAAAAGAATCTCGACATATTTTTGTCACAGATCAGTCCTTGATGGATCACACAGGCTGTGATTGACGGCATTGAAAGGTTAATTGAATTAAATTAAAATTTCGAGGTGCTACTAAATGGTCATATGAAAATAGTTTTTGTGTTCCAGATTTTCGTATCAAATCTTTCTAATAACTTCTGTAGTAATAGAAAATTGAAGACGCTTTTACCGTCTGATATACAGGGTGACTGGTGAATTACTATCAATATTTAAGGAGAATACTCGGTACATGATTCCCATTCGAATTATGTAAAAAAAATTATGTATAAAAAAATCTTGGGAATACAATGAGAAACTAAGTAAATTCGGTAAAAATAAGATGTAAAAATTTATCCACAATTATTATTAACAAAACTTGTGTTATGTTTACGAGACGATGTTCAAATTTCGTTCACATTACTCAGACCAGCTGAAATAATATTATTATTTGAAGTAAACATCGCTACGACGATTATTGAAAAATATTAACCAAATATTATCAAAACTTTTCTATTTAATAATATATGAGATCTCTTTTCCAAAATTACATGAAATCTTTAAGTGAAAAATTTTATGTAATACAAAATCATGGTACCCTTACCAAAAACATGCCGAAATATCGTCTCCCGTTTGTCTGTCTATAAAAATATACTGTGACAAAAATTTATGAATGAAAAACTAGGAAGGCTACGCATTCGTTGTAAGGCCAAAAACAAAAATCGATCCATACACTTTTAATAAAAAAATCATGCTATAGAAAGCAACGAACCCAATATACCAATTATAGTCCATATCTAAAGTGCTTCACAAAAAATAGATTCCAAATAGCTTATAATTATAACGTCTTGAAACATCAAATAGTGCTGTCGAACTTTGA